CCTTACCAAATGCCCCCTTATTTTGGACTCTGTTTTTTTTTTTTATTTTTCTGTCTTTCTTCAGAGCCTTTCCCTTGCAAGATGCCTTCTCTAAGTAGTCCCTCCCCAAATCTCACATGTACATCTCCAGCTACCCTAAAGAAAGCTCCATCTATTAGGCTTAACTTTATGAATATCTGGTAAAATCTACAAAATCATTGATTCTAAGCCCTACTTATATTTATTTTATGCATCTTACACCAGTCCTCCAACTGCTTTTTTTTGTTTGTTTTTGTTTTTGTTTTTTTGACAGAGATTTTTGCTATAGGGCACATTCACTCTGGAGAGGAAGAGAGTGACAGAGAGATAGAAAGCAATAAATCACCCCTCCAGGGAAGATAATCATACCACAATCCCTTCTGCTCCATTCTCCTCTTAGGATTTTGGACACACATACAAACACACCCAGCCGGGACTCAAACCACAATCAACTATGTGGGAATCCAGCAACATAAACATTATGCCATCTCCTGGTCCCCAACTACAATTTGTAACTACTTCAGTAACACCTCCCTTTTTATTCACTGACTGGAACTAAAAACTCATCCTCTCAAATCCTCTTTCTTTCTCTGTTCTCATTCAGTTGGTCCCAGTACTTGATTCATTCAACCTCCTAAATATTCTTGGAGCAGGCATCACTTCCCTGCAATTTTGTATTGCCTCTGTTATATTTTAAATAATCAACCTCTCACCTTCACCACTACGTTAGTCTTTTCCTAGTTTCCTTGCTTTCTATGCTGCCAGAGGGAGTAACTTTCTAATACAGATCTCATCATATCACTTACAAGATCAAAACTTCCCAGGTCTTTCCGAAGAATTTCCTTGACACATCCCTCAAAGGGTTCCACAATCTGGATTTACCCTATGCTGCCAAACTTTTTTGCATTCCTCATACCTCCATTTTCCACTACTATGGACCAGTTGAATCAAATTCATACTAACTTTGGGAACCAGCAGTTAGCGTAATGGCTATGTCGCTAGACTCCCACATAGTCGACCGCGGTTCACGTCCCGGACCCAGTGGCTTAAAACTCATGCTGGGCGCGTGTGCGTACGTGCCCAAGATCTCTAGAGGAGAATGGAGGAAAAGGGATTGCGGCGTGACCATCCCCCCTGGGGGGTGACTTCTCACTTTCTGTCTCTATGTCTCTCTCTGTCTGTCTGGCGAGCTCATGCGCCCTATAGTGAAAATCTCTCCAAAAAAAAAAAAAAAAAAAATTCATACTAGCTTTCTTTTCACTTTGAGTAATCGTGGTGTTTCCTCCTCTAGTACCATATAGCCATTCTTGGATGGATAAACTTCAGTCATTTGCTAAGATTAAGTTTACATATCAGAGAGTCTATTAAACCTCTCCTTCATCTCCACTGTCTCCATTGCTCACATAAAATATTAGTAGAAAAAAGGTTTTAAAAAGTTATTATTAGAATAAGAAAGAAAGAAATATGATATTGTTTTCTATTTTCTGTCTTAGAATCACAAGATTTTATTGTTGAAAAGGTTGTTACAGTCATTCCAGACCAAAGCTTTCTGTGGTTTCCATATAAAAAGTAAAAGTTCTTGCCTTAAGATGAAGTTTGGGAAATTTGTAACTAGTTGTGTAATACTGGCTGCATAATTTGAGTGATCCTTATACAGCATTCAAGAAAGGAGTCACTACAGTATTCAACCATAAAAAAAAAAACTGAAATCATAGAATTGTAGCTTCATAGTCTCAGCTTCACTCACTTCCCATAATCAGTACTTAAATGTTCCTGAAGAAATAAAGTTACCATCATTTTATATTCAAAATTCACTGGATATATTCAAATTCATTGAATAAAAACAAACAAATCTGGACTGCAAGTTGGGGCAAATAAGGTCTTTCTTGCTCTTTTTAAAAATGTTAAGCTATTTTTAAAAAATAAGCAAAAATAATTATTGTGCCACAATGTTGACTGTGCTACATTTCATCAGTGAAAGATTTAGAGAAAGAGGGAATTGAACAAGGTATTTTGGCTCATCTCACAATTTTATTGGGAACTGTTACCCATTTTGAGACCCACATGGAGCTCTCTTCTAAAGAAGTTTCCAAATATTCAAACCCCAATTTTTAAAATGAAATGTTTAAGGAACATTTTTGAAGTTCTTAATCTATTTATCATGTTTATATTAATGACTCATATATTTAAAATTATATCATCATTGATAAGCTTTCAGGGTGCATAAAATTACAATTTTGTGTGTTCTTTTAGCAACTATACTTCAGAGCTAGGGCTAGATTAGCCTGGACCAATCCAATTTGTCTTCATTAAACCTAGGGTCACTCAGTACCCTGAGTCTAGAGCAGTTTTCTTTCAAATTGGGGTCTACTTTTCCATAGACAATTCTTATTAAAAATAAATTTTCATAGGTTTTTATCTTCACCCCTCACTTCTTGAAATGAATTCTGATACATAGAACTTTCTTGCCCCTTTTCTTTTTAGGGTCTTTCCCTGCTTAAAATACATTTTCTGTAAGTCTCCAGTGCTGAGTTTCTGGCATGAAAAAACAACCTTGTTACTTGGAAAGCAGTTTTTACTTACAAGTCCCCCAGGCCCCATAATGTCTAAACCTCCTGTGTCACTTTATATGGCCGCCCCACCCCACAGAGGAGCATGTACAGGAAAAGCAGACTTCCCTTCCCCCACACATTTCCTCAGTTTATTTACAAAATGTCTTGGAATGAGAAAGAGCTGCTTGTGGTTCCTGTGGCTGATTCAGGGATAGTTTCCTACAGGCAGAGGATGCTGGTCAACTGAATGACCTCTCCGTAGCTAACCCATGCACCCTGTGGTAAGACTTGTTTGGTCTTAGGGTACCCCTTCTCACTAAGTTTGGAAGGATTTGTTTTTGTGCAAAAGAACTCAATAATAACCAAACATCACTGTGAAGACAGATTTAATAATGGCAAGGTCCATTGGAGCTGTTTCCTTCCACTACCAGCTATAAGTCAGAAATGCACAGAGATACATATTCAATGTTTATTCTTTGTTAGAAATGATGAATATGATAATACTCTTGACTTGATTATCACACATTCAAACATGCTTTGAAAGACCAACTTGTACCCCACAAAGATGTACAGCAATTAAGCATAAACAGGAAATTATAAAATAGGGAAATGAAAAAAATACACTGAGGTGATTTTAGACTCCCATGCATCAACTTTTGCTTCACGAAGGATTATAATTTTTCCCTTCCAATGTCCTGGAAGGACAATGAAGTTATTACTTTATATTTGAACAGAGAATACCTTAGGAGAAGAAATTATCCCCACACTAGCTACTTCAGAGACTTTCCTTAGTCAGCAATTCCTACCATCTCACACATAGGTGATGATGACTAGTTAACAGGCTTTAAGAAGGTTTAAAGTTATGAAGATCTCCCGTAAACATGAGTTTTACAAATATTTGCTTATATTTATTCAGACTTGCTAACGAGCCTTTTTACCTCACACATTCATGGCTGTTGGAAATCTTGTAATATGTGTGCCAATGATCAGGTAGGGTCTTAAGATTGTTCCATCTCCCCACACATACATTTCACTTGAGTAAGTGGGAGGCAGGATACTGAAATTGTAAGACTTCCATCCCCAAAGATAAAATATTGAACATAAGTTACCATAAATTCTCACATATGATCCACTTGGAACTACTGGTAGGATGAAGACCACATTTTCACCATCATTATAAACTTGAACTGATAATTACAAACTCATGTGAGAAGTATTTCAAGAAAATATTGTGGGGGCGGGGCACTGAGTAGCTAATATATCAATGGTTTTAGGTTATTTTTGCATTAGAGCAGAGTGAAGTTGTCTTCTCTAATAGCTCATAATTGAAAAAAGCTACTCTAGAACTTAGTGTCCTTACTCAACCTAAGCTCCAGTGTACGTTGTCACGCTTATTGTCATGCTTGCTGAAGAAGAGACATGTACTTATCATTCACTATATAAGTGAAATGCAAAACTTGTGTGTACTAATCTCAATGTGTAAATGAGTACAAAATCTCCCAGATTGTTATACACACACACACACACGCTATCCTATACATTGTTTGCGTCTATGTATTTTTACATTTTGAATGTTCAAATTTTAAAAGCTTTGAAATTTAGTACAATATAAATGTGAAAAAGATTCCAGATCATAGAAAAGGTAGGGACTCAAATCACACCTTATTCACCCATTACAATAGAAATGAAAATTAATGAAAGAAAGCATATATCCTGCCCATAAAATGTCATTTAGTTTCTGTATCTGTGATTTACCTTTGTTTTCGTCTTTCTACATTTGTCTCCCCAGTGCATCCTAACGTCAGTCAAGGCTGCCAAGGAGGCTGTGCCACGTGTTCAGATTACAATGGGTGTTTGTCATGTAAGCCCAGACTATTTTTTGTTCTGGAAAGAATTGGCATGAAGCAGATTGGAGTGTGTCTCTCTTCATGTCCAAGTGGATATTATGGAACTCGATATCCAGATATAAATAAGTGTACAAGTAAGTGTGTACTATCTTTATCTCATCCTTGAAGGTTTTTCCAGATTGAAAAGGCTTCTGATGCATTTGTGATAGTCAACATTAAGTAAATAATAATGTTTACCCCCAAATTAGGCTAAACTACACTTGGATATAGTCATTAGGGCAGGAAAATGTTCACTAACTTATAAAACAATACTCACATTTTGTTTTGAATGGCAAAAGCAAAGGCTGAGAGCATGATCATTGCTCATGGAACCTAAAGAGAAATACATCAATTCTGGTTCTCTTAACTGTCACAAAAACCCAAGTATTTAACTTGAAAATCACTTCATCTATTTTAGCTTCAAGAAGGATTCCATTATAACAACTGAAATATTTATTTGTCATTTAGAAATAAATGTTGGACGCATTCTCATGTCATCTCTCATATGAATCCCAAAAGTCTACTCACAATTAATATATAGACCAAGTGACCTTTCAAAATTGTAACTTAGGAAATATCACTTCTCTATTCAAACATAACGCATGGCTCTCCCTTAACTTTCCAAATGTATCTTTTACCACCTCCCTGCCACCATTCTGCACCAGCCTCACTGACCTGTGTGTAAGATCGTCCCGCCTCAAGCCTTTGCAACTGCTGTTCAACACTGGCTGTTCTGGCAGTCTGGAAAACTCAGTCCACAACTTCTTATGGTTGACTCTCCCATTTCAATAAAACTTCTGCTCATATGTTACCTTCTCAGAGGCATGCCATGAGCACCTTATCCAAAACAATCAGACTTTTCCCCTTATCAGTCACTCCACATCTCTTTTTATCAATACTTCTTTTGCTGTTGTTTTTTCCAAAGCTCTTGTGACTCTGGAAACAGAGTGCCTGGTTTCAGAAACCAGTCTGTTCTGTGGTTCCGGTCTAGATAAATAAGCTTTTGAACTTTAGTTTTCTTATCCACAAAATGATAATCATAACAGTGATAAATTACTGGATTATTGAGAAGTTTAAATGACAATATTGTTAAGTATTGGAATGTTGGGAAAGTCATGACACATTTTCACATAGAAAAACATAGACAAATACATCATAACTTTCTCAACAGCCTAATATTTATAGCAATCCTGGCTTGTAGTATTCCATTTAAGGGTCAGTTATTTTCATTATTTATTGTGTCTCCCTTCCTAGAAAATAAGTCTGGACATGAAGTCTGGACCTTATTTGTCTTGTACGCGGTTGTCAACCATTACGTAGAATGATGCCCAACACAGAGTAGGCAACCAAATATTTACTGTGAATGGCTAACCCTAAGAACAGCACCACAATATTCTGGCACATTTTTATTAAAGTACTGATGGAACCATTTTTACTACTCTTCAATATAAATAAATATCTTTCTTACAATCATTCTTGGCCATGTATATATGTATATAGGTGTATGTGTATAGGTATACACACGTATCACATACATGTGTGTGTGTGTGTGTGTGTATATATATATGTATGTATATATATATATGTGTGTGTGTGTGTATATATATATATATATATAGTCAAAGATCAGTAAAACTATTTTGAAATCAATAACTTATGTACATCAACTAAATGACTGTGGGGGAAAGTCTTAAATCAATTTGGTAAAATAATTTTGAACCCCAGGTATTTGACACAGAAGTTACATGAGACTGTATTAGAAGCAGACAGAAATGGACAAACAATAGGACATGATGAAAACATAACTTTTTCGAATCCATTCATCAGTTTGTGGACATTTAGGTTGGTTCCATGTCTTGGCAATTGTGAATAATTCTGCAATAAACATTGATGTGTAAGCACTTTTCTGACTGAACGTTCTCCTGTCTTTTGGGTAAATACCCAGAAGTGGGATTGCTGGATCAAATGGTAGTTTTATTTGTATTTCTCTTTCAGAATGCAAAGCTGACTGTGATACCTGTTTCAACAAAAACTTCTGCACAAAGTGTAAAAGTGGGTTTTACTTACACCTTGGAAAGTGCCTTGACAATTGCCCAGAAGGGTTGGAAGCCAACAACCACACCATGGAGTGCGTCAGTATTGGTGAGAATGGCCTCTTAGATTTAGAATGGATGGGAAACACCAGCGATAATAATGTCAGTGTCCACAGAGGTGCTTCTGAAAGTCCTATTTCACCAGAACCTAAAGAACTTCCTCTAAGAGGCTCTTTTTAATCTTCCTTATATAGATACTCTCTTAGGGGCCAGCAAGTGGCATGGTGGTTAAAGTACTAGACTCCCACATGGCCAATCATGGTTTGAGCCCTGGGCCTAGCAGCTTGCTTTCTCTCTCTCTGACTCTGTCTCTCTCTGGTGAATGCATGTGCCCTGTAGCAAATTTTAAAAATAATAATAATGATGATGAATGAAATTAAATAATTCTTTAAAAATAACTAAATAAAAATACTCTCTTAAAGGTGTTCCTATAACCTTACCCAATGTATCACAGTACAGTTTAACATCTAGTAGATGCCTCATTATTTCTTAGGGACTGTCAGTAATTGTTTCAATTCATCTTATCACTATAGGTTTTTTAGTATCGTTATTTAATAACATTTCACTTAGCGTGAATATATATGGAAACCATAATAGGGACACACAAACATGCACATATACATTTGAGTGCGTGTGCATGTCTTGACCTAAATTTCTACCCTGGGGCAAGATTTTCATAAAATGCATAGGTTTGATCTCAACCAGTGACCAACATTCGTTTCCAAGGGGAAAAACATATTCTCTTGATGTAGCCCATTCATGTTTAGTAGCCAGATCAAAGACCCAAAGGGTTGGAAATGGTATAGTTAAAAATCTCTTTTTTTTTTTCTCTCACAATTTTGCAGAAATTTTGCTTGCTTGCCACAGGTATTCAGAAACAAGAAAAAGAGGACTTTGTACTTACTCAAAAATGACACCATGAGACAGTCCTAGGGTCTGATTAATTGCAGGCTGAGTTTCCTGGAGGGGAGGCCCCTCAGACAAGTTGTTTTTCTAAATAACAGATCACTGTCAGGCTCTATTTTCCCTCTTTTCAGTATTGTGTGGCTACTGCAACTATGAGTTTGCCGAACACTTGGGAAGCAGATGCTAACTGAAATGGGAAAACAATGTACAAAATCTCAAAATCCCCTGGGCAAGAACTGCAAGAACCTTTGATGCTGCACTAGGGTTGGCCTGTGCGCACAAGTGCCCTCCTGATCCAGTACAAGATAGTCTTCAGAACTCCCCTGGGGTCCCCCGGTGTGGATCCATTAGAATATACAGCGTTGGAGTACTAATTCTAAGTGGTGCTTTAATTATTTCAGGTCTGCCACATAACTTCTTTCTAAACAAACTTTGTGGTAGACTGAAATAAATAGATGATATTTTAAAGATAATTTCAGAAGCATCTGGAAAACAGCAATCCGTAAGCCTGTTTATGACTGACTTTGGTTAAGTCGTTTCTTCTCCAGTCAATAAAAACACAGAAAAAAAACTTAGGAAAGGGTAAAAGGTACATTTGAAATACTTTAAGTTCATCTTTTTATAGGTCCGGAGGGCTTATGATTAGAGATAGTAAGTTCCAAACAGAGGACTAAATAGGGAACACTTCTGTGGAATATCCAAGGACAGAAGTGCAGGATGAGTTACAAAGAGCTTGTGGGATTTCTCTACCCAGGAAAAAGGATGTGTGTTTAGGTTTTCTCAGTTGTTCAAGGCATAGCACTCAGTTCTTGAAAAGCTAGTTATCTTAATTTTATTAATACTTCCCTATCAAGGAAACAATTTAATATTTGACACTGTTGGACTAACCTTTAAACGTCAATGGTGTTTTAGAATATCAATAAGATTAAGACCATTTCTTAAAACAGGTACACGAAAGAAATGTATATATATTAGAAGGAGGGCTAGCAGTCTCGACTTTAGCTCCCACCCTTCACCCAGTGGGTTAAAGAATGTGTCTTTGTCTTTGTTAAAATCTGCATATATATATAAGGCTATATATATATATAAAATATAGTTTTTAAAAAGCCATGTATAACTATATTATATATAGTTTCCTACCTGGTCATGTTCACATCAGATAATTCTTTTCTAACTTAATTCTCTTAATTCTGGTATTACATGAATACTGTACAAAATGACAGTTCACTAACTTTAATCTTCCTTTTTCTATTTTCTTTTTCAGAGTTTAGTTTTGTTTTGATTTGGTTTTGTCTTTGTTTTGTTTTGTTTTTGAGAGAGAGAGAGACAGATTTTTGCTATACATGTGCACTCAGACAGAAAGTGAAAAATTACACCCCAGTGTGGGATGGCCATGCTGCAATCCCTTCTCCATTCTCCTCTCGGGATTTTGAAAATACATGCACATGCACCCAGCTTGAGTTTTAACCTTCCAGGTCTAAGACTTGAACTATAGTCGACTACGTGAGAGTTCAGAGACTTAACCATTATGCCATTTGCTGGTGCCTGTTTTCTCAGAGTACTTAAACTGAGATAAAAGATTTTAAAAAGAGGAGATGCTGTCTTTACCTGAGGTAGAATGCTTATGTCACAACCTCTCTGCTCCCCAAGGTTTGCAGTCAAATTAAACATAAACACCCACTGAACTTAATTTTACAGGAACACTTTCCACTTTGTGCTCCAAATATTTTTTTTCCTTATGTCACTGTCATTCTATTATCCTCATTTCTCTTTATCTCCTCTTTGAGAACTGTATTTGTTAAGTATTCACAGATGGATGATCACCTGTCCAAACACTGAGTAACAAAAGAGATGCCCTTAGTAAGTTCTCTACAGAACCATGCAATTAGTCAGCAATAACTAGAGAGGAGTAATGGTATTGAAAGAACACCAGTGATATTGGTAGGATATCCAGTTTAACTTTACTCCAAATCCAGGAATTGTTTTTATAGCCTCTTAGACCACAGCATGGCCATGTCGAGGGCAAGGAGCTCATTACTGCACACACATTTTTGAGACATTTGCTTCATTGGTGAATAGCCAAAGAGTTCCAGTTGAGTATCTCTATTTTTTCTTAAATTCCTCCAGTAGGTAGTGTTCCTTTACTGACCTGACTATAACAGAAGCCACCCTTTTTGTTATCTTTGGCATTTTTTCCAGAGTGCCCATTTTTTTATGCTATGCTAACATTATAGATTTATTCTACAAGATTTTTCTAGGAAAAATCCTCCACCTTTCATGCCTTTTTAAACCTATCTATGTACTCTTATTAGAGCTTCTTTTTTTTTCACTATATAAAGCATTGACTTTGAATATTTTCCTTCTTCCAATGGAATTAGCTAAGATTTTCATTAGAATTTGATTTTTAGAACCATTCACCTATGACTATAGACATATTACTTACATCACAATTTTTTAATTCCAATTTTCTAAGCATATCAAAGATCTTAACTACCTTTACTATGGTGAAAGAGCACCAAAGTTCTGGTCACTTCCATATTGGATATTTTTTTTTTTTTTGGTTCTCTTAATTCTAGTATTAAATAAACACTGAACAAAGTGACAGTTCATGAACTTTAATTTTTCTTTTCCTACTTGCTTTTATTTGTATGTGATAAAGACCCACTACTTTTTAATAGCTAATATTGGGAGGCTGACAGCTAATGTCCATAACTAGCAAGAGTTCATAATATTATTAAGTGATTTGGTTGCTGTCTTCTTGAACAAAAATTGTAATAGTATGGACCAACATGAAGACTGTTTTTGCAAAGTGGTTCAAAAGTTTCATTTAAATTCACAGAAATTTAAATTCATTATTTAATCATTCCTCTTTATTGTACATTGCAGTCAGGTACCTGTAAATAACTAAAAATATCTATGAAAAGCACAGGAGAAATAGATTTAGATTTCTAAAATATTTAGATGATCTTTTTTGAGATTGTTATCAGAGAAAGTATTCTGCTCTAAAATAAGACTCATTACATCAGAGGGATGCAAGAGAGGTTACTGGAAACTTGTTTTTGTGGAAAGTGGGCAGTATATCACCTGAAAGCATTACTGTTACAAGCTGTTCCAGTTGTAAGTTTTATGGACTTAACTACAAAAATAGTACCTTCAGATGTTTCTTTCCACTACAAGCAAAAAACAAAATAATTGTTATAAGACCTGGGAAAGGCACCATTGAAAAAAGAAACTAATAACGAAAAAAGAAACAAATATAGAAAAGCTTCAGAAAATGTGCATCAGCTGATCCTGGGAATCCCTTGGGCAAGTTAATTCTAGATGCAGTTTATATAAAATTGTTCCAGAATTCATGTAAAATAGATATTGTTATGGCTGAACCATACCCAGTAATAAGTAACAATATTTGAGTAACCAACAACACCTGAAGTAGAAAGGTAGTGCCTTGTAAACTGAAGACCTGGATTATTTCCTACTCAGGTGTTCTGAAGCACAAAAGTTCACAGTGCTCACTCGCGGTGCATATGAATGGGCACCATGGGCACCGCCTCATTTTTAGAAAGGAAAATTCACAGCCCCTCCCCAGGCAATTAACTCGGAAACTTTGGAGTTGGGTTTGGCATTCTGTGTTTTAGCAAAGCCTGCTGGTGATTCTGACCTGTGGTACAATTTGACAATCAGTTCTCCAGCACATACTATCCACTGTTCTGTCAAGTTTTGTTCAGAGTCCATCAAGAAGTATAGCAGTACTCTGGAAATTATGAAGCATTGATCAGTTTTGAGTAATTATATTAGTGGCTACATTAAACTGATCTAGAGGAAAAAGCAAACTCAATGCAAGAGTGAGTTGACCTGGTAACAGGAGTACTAAAAACTACAGCATTCTGGGCCAGCCAGTGGCCTGGTGATTGAGGCAGTTGGATCCTAAATGGCTGCTTGTGTGATTTGAGTCCCAAACTCCGTGGCTTGAAAAAACGCAACAGGCACATGTACATGTGTGCTCCAAATTCTGGGTGAAAAAAATGGAGAAGAAGGGACTGGGTGTGGGGAGGGAGCAGCCCCCGGGTGAATATCCCAGGTAGATGCTTTCTCCCTTTGTCTCTCCCTCTCTCCCTGGCCAGCCCAGGTGCACTTCAGCAAAATTAACCCACAAAACCCCACAGCATTCCTTTTAGCCTTTCCCATTATCTTTGTTTTATATTTAAGTCATCTCCTCTAACTAATCTTCAGGATTTCTACTCAGAATTTGGTCAAGTATTGATAAGAACAAAGCTTCGTGGTTTTTATTAACAGCGAAAGTGATTATGAACCAAGTGGAACATTTTTGCTCTTCTGTTCCAGTGCACTGTGAGGCCAGTGAATGGAGTCCTTGGAGTCCATGCACAAAGAAAGGAAAAACATGTGGCTTCAAAAGAGGGACTGAAACACGGGTCAGAGACATAATACAGCATCCTTCAGCAAAGGGTAACCTGTGTCCCCCAACCAGTGAAACAAGGAAGTGTACAGTGCAAAGAAGAAAGTGCCAGAAGGGAGAACGAGGTACCGTGATCCTAACAAAATGTGCTTGTCTGAATCCTCATAATTCATTGCACAGTTCACTTCATTTCTAAGGGAACATTTGGCATTTTCACTATGTCTAAATTCCTAAAATGTGTACCAAAGAATCTGTTAACTATAAATTACAGAAATAGAGGTGGTACTTTTAAAAATAGAGGCTGGTAGCAGAACTTTAAACTACTCTAGAGTGTGCTAATTTAATTCCATTTAATGAAACTGCATTATAAGCATTTGGACCATTAGCTTTCTTTTAATCCACCCACCTTTTATGCCTATAAAACTGTTGGGAAGTCTCATAAACAAAAGGTTCAATACCATCTGGTACAAGACCATGGCAAAGAAACACTGCTATCAACTTTCTCCTTTCCTCATTGCCTACAAATCAAAGTAGAGCATTAGGTCATTAGCTTTTGTAAATATATATTTATCTATATATAATATACATAAATAGATGGCCTTGGTCATTGAATTCAAGCGTAAGCTCAGTATTATTAGATATTTATATAAATATATGTAAAGTACATATTTATAACATACTTCACATTTAATTTCACACTGACTTTTCATTTTATTTCAATGACCAAGGCCATATTTTATGAATGTAACCCAACCATTAATGACATTTTCTCCCCAGATGTTTTTCCTATCATGCCGGCTTTAAATATCAGACTGCAGAAACTATTAGAAACTATTAGATCAATATCAACTATGTCAGGGTTTGTTATCCAATTTTATGAGTGCCAAGGAGAAATATACCATTTAATATGATGCTTGAGGGTGAATACATTTTCCGGTAGAAAAGCTGCAATTGTTGACTTTTAAAATACCAGTTTGCCATTTTTCTCACCAATGTCCTTAGCACCACTGCCAATAGATATGTTGTGTAGCTTTATGTAACTTTTGGTAGTTACCTGATGAACCTATAGACGATCCTTTTAATTAATTACAGCTTGAAAGGTGTTTGGCTACCTCTGCAGTTTAACTTCCTTAGCTTATTTCATGTATCCAAGAGTTTCATTAAATCCGTACTGTAAGGCCACACACAGTGCTAAGTCCTAGGGTACTATCTCTGTCCCGAGGTGCCCTCAGAGTTCAGTGAGAATTGAAATGTTTAAATAGATAATCACAATAACATATAGGAAGGGAGATTATCATTTAAACATTGCTGATGCAAAAGAATCTGGGTTAATTGTACTTTGCAAAGTGTGTTTCATATACTGGAAGAATTAGCCATCTCTAGAATGTGTAAAGCCTATAGCAGCCATAATGTCCAGTGAGCTTGAAGCATTGAAGACGGGTTATTTTAAAGAGCACTTCAAACTTTTGTAAATTTGTAAGAGATTTTGATTACGGTTTAGTTTAAGGAATGAAAGTTGGATAATTAAAAAGTTCTTCCATTTGTTATCAATTAATTTAAAACATCTTAGATGTTAACAGTTGGATTTGTAAATCAAATATTTCTTCAGTTTACTTGTTGGTATGCTCCCATAGCCATCCATATACTTATGTTTACTGAATTTTCTTAAAATATAATAACTTACAAGTGGCCTTTGCTCATATCATTCTTTCCACAAAGATTCTACATTTCTAACCAGTATTCAATATACTTTGCTTTAAAATATAAGTGAAGAAAAGCTTATCCAATAGAAAACATTAAATTCTGATATTAATGATATCATTCTTATTTTGAGAACCTGGTCTTCCAATATCTTTTGCTAGTGCTTGGCTTAAACATTAACCTTGACAACGTCAGTTCTTGGTCTGGCTCTGTGGCCTAATGGTTAAGGAGCCTACATGGCTAATAATGTAGTTTGAATCCCAGCCCCAGCATCTTGAAAAGCAGGCCAGATGTTGAGGACCCAAGATCCCAATAGGATGGAGAAATGGAAAAGAAGGGATTATGGCCTAACCACACTGCATCATGGGGGTGTTTTTTCTCTCTCCCTCTCTTTCTCTTTGTCTCTTTCTGGCAAGTGCACATGGCTTCTGGCAAAATTTTTTTTTGAAAAGAAAAAAAGAAAATGTTAATTCTTAAAACTAGAGAGTGATAAGATAAATAATGCCACAGGCAGTTAGAAACAGTAATCTATGACATAAGTTTTGGCTTAAAAGTTTCTTTCTGATCTTTTCTTCTTCCCTCTGAGGCACAGTGACATTTTACGTTACAAAAAGAACTTTATACAACTAGATAATTTTTGGTGCTTTATTATTTTTCAAATTTGATAATACATTGGCTAGTATGTAGGAAATATGATTCGTATCTATAACTTAACTCCAGATTTAGCACTTCTTTGCTTATTCTTTATTCAGCTTTCAATGTGTTTGCCAAAAATAATTTTCAGGTAGCCTAGGAACTTAAGGTAGGAAGAAAAACATTTCTCTATTCATTTGTTTTTTTTTTCTTTTACCCAGAATTTTTCTTAAACTTGTTTTAAAGTTTAGTAATCAAATATCTTATTCAAAAATTAAAAGAAAAGTAACTATGACCTCTGGACATCCCACTATATCCATTATATCATGCATCACATAAAAGTAATAACATGATTAAATAATAATGCAGAATCCTCACTTAGGCTCTGATACATATAATAGACAATATGTAATGTATAAATCTTCAAAATTTAGTCATTTTCTTTCATTACAATCTAAATGGTAAGATGCACAAATAGATATGAAAGGAAGCATATTTTCAGACCAAGTAAAGTAGAAGACTTTAATTAATCTTTTTTTTTTTTTTGGATGAATTAATTTTTTAAAAATTTGCAAAATTTTGCATATGCTCACCAGGGAGTGGAGGGAGAGAAAGGACACTCCCCCCCCCCCACGGGGTATGGTTACACTACAATCCCTTCTCCTACATTTCTATCATCTCTTGGTATTTGGGGCACGTGTGCACACACACCTGGCATGTTTTTCAAGCCACCAGGTCCAGCACTCGAACCAAGAAGTCGGTCATGTGGGATCCAGTCACCTTCCTACTATGCCACAGGCTGGCCCCTACTATAACTTTTTAAGTAGGAAAAGCATTAGAAACCTTTAAGTAACTTTAAATATAAACACAATAAAGTAATAAAAACATGATTTCTTCTTCCACTAGGATAATTATTACAGGAGTTGTTACTAATTCTTTTAGCTTCTTAAAGTAAGATTCTTTTAGGTTTATGGTTTGAGCATTTCTAGATGAAAAGACTTTTCCTATAAAATGTACCCTGAACAGGCCAAGTGGTAGCACAGTAATTATGCAACTAGACTCAGATAGGAAAGGTCCTGGGTTCATGTCTCCAGACATCCCAGAGCACACCAAACACACACACATATGCTTAGGATCTGGGCTGGCTAAAACAGAAGGTGGATCTTGGCTTGAAGACTATGTTGTGTCTTTTGCCTCTCTTTCTCTCTCTCTCTTTCTCTCTCTCACATAAAAATAAATAAATACACTTTAGAGAAAATTTTATGAAAACCTTGAAATTAAGCTTAAGTCTACGATCCTGCCTGAGAGGTTAACAATAGGCAGAAGTGGATAACTCAAATTTGGAAAAGGTATGAAGCATGTGTTCAGAATTTTTTCTGCTGTGTTGTAATTGCCAAAGGCCAAGTCTCCAGGGAAGAATGATAAGATCCAGAAATGACTCTCTAAAATGTACACAAAGAAAAGCTGAATAGAAGGAGAAAGTTTTTAGCAACAAAATAGATTATTCCAGTCATGAAATGCTTTTTAATATGTAGTTGTTGGGAAAATGGATTATAAAATCTTACACGCATCAGCTTTTCTCTACCATTCTTCTAATGGTTAGAACAGTTACAATAAACGAAGCTGTTGTAGCCCCAATCTAAAATTTGTACTGATGTACTGTTTGTTTGCGTAACTTAGGATTTTTTAAAATTTACCTGACATGCTGCCTTTTAATCAGTCCTCATCAATTACTGACTTTAATAAGAAATTATTAACATTACAATTGTTTCCAACTTGAATCTATGCCAACTAAGTAGTATACCTGAAAAGTTAAAGATACAGAAGATATGAGAGATTATACATGCTAATATGTAGAATTATACCACATATAGATTAAAACAACATATTGAAATAGAAATAAACAAAGCAGTATTTGTTCATTTATATTAATGGCTCTTCTGACAGACTGAGTATAACCGTCTCAGATAAGAGATGAAGATGTTTGTGCCTACATTTAATGCAAAGGGGTAGTTTTGTGTGTGTGGATGAAAGAGAGTCAATGAACACATTTCTCAGTCATTTGCATATTCCTTTAATTAACTAGACAGTATTTCTTATAGATAACTTTTATCTTAACCAAAAATAAAAGAAGTTTTTTTATGTGGTTAATTTCAAGAAGAGGATTCTCATTACAGATAGTGCATGATCTTGAGATAGAAATGAGAGAGGGGAGTCATCAAAAAAAAAAAAAAAAGTGAGTGGGGACCAGCAGTTAGCACAATGGCTATGTCGCTGGACTACCATGTAGTCAACTGCAGTTCGCGTCCCAGACCCGGTGGCTTAAAACTCACGCCGGGCATGTATGTGTGTGTCCCCAAGATCCCAAGAGGAGAATGGAGGAGAAGGGATTGCAGCGTGACTATCCCCCCTGGGGGGTGGTTTCTCGCTTTCTGCCTCTATGTCTCTCTCTGTCTGTCTGGCAAGTGCACGCGCCCTATAGCAAAAACCTCTCCAAAAAAAAAAGAAAGAAAGAAAAAAAGTGAGTCAGAGGGTTCTACCTTCTTGCTATAAATTTAAGCTAGCCAGAAAAGTTAAAAAGGATCCCACTAAGATAGAAAGAGAGAAAATATCTAGGTTTGCTGCAGGGAATTTAAAAAAAGGTGGAAAGTATTATATTATTCCATTCTTTAAATATGCTATAGGCTTTAAATATGCTGAAGACTTTATACGTCTTCTCGAAAGTAAGTATAGTACAAGTCTACTGTATATTACATAAAGGAAAAGTCTTGCATATAACTTATAAATTGTT